CTACTCCTTTTTAATGAAAAAAAAGAGGGGGTGTGGATCTGGGGAAGAGGAAGTGTTGGAGGAATTTGGAGAAGTGGAGAGGAAACTGTAGTCAGGATGACTTGTATGAGAGAAGAATCTATTTTCCGTAAAAATAAAATGTGCACACACAAAGACAATAATAAATAATAACTTTATATCCAACTTTTTCTTTCAATAAAATTTCAGATAAAAATGATTTATTTTTATTTTATGTGTATTAGTGTTAGCCTGCATGCATGTATGTATACCATGTGTGTGTGGTCAATGCTCATTGAAGCTAGTGAACTTATTGCAGGAGAAGCCCTAAAATTGGAATTATGGATAGTTTCAGAGTACAGTATGGGTGCTGGAAACAGAACACTTTGAAAGAGCAGGAGACCATGAAATAGATAGGAAAAGGGGTGGGGAAAGAGGAGAAATTGGAGGGATGAGAAGGATAGAGGGAAATTGTGGGTGGTCTATGCAAGCACCAGTTCTACCAAAATGTCACTCCATGTGAGATAAGGCAGTTTAGTTCAACAAGACTCAATAGTTGATGTTGGTTCAAACTTTGAGAGTATAGTACCAGGTATCTTATTTCAGGCATATTTAAGCACAAGTATAATTTGGAAAAAGTTTCTTCGTGATATTTAGCTCAATTCCATGGGTACAACAAAGTTTAAGTTATAATTGAACCAAAAGTCTTGTAAAGTAAAAGTGACATCTTCCATAAGGATAGGTCCTACACATTAAGTAAGGAAGCAGGCACAGGTAAACAGTTCACGATAAGAGTATAGGGATGAACAGAGCTATAAACTGACTGAGATAAACAGGCTCATGATAAGAGTCTGGAGGATCTGGTATGACCTGACAATACCTAGGGCAAACAGATATTCTCCTAGCTTTCAAGGTAGAAAACAAATAACAAATATCTCCCTTTGAAGAGATTACCTTGTGTATTTAATATTTCTGGTTTCCCTAGTGCTTATCTGTTAATGAGAGTATCTACAAGTCTCCTACCTCTTCTTCTTTATTTTTTGAAGGGAAAATACTAGATGTAATAGAGGCCAAAGTTTGTATGCATGGCCATTCAAACTAACATAGCCAATCATAAGGGAATTATAAGAATAGTTAACAGAGGACCAAGGAATAAGGAAAGCCATCTTATTGTGTCCTCATTGTTTCTCCAAGGTCTCAGCATGACGAGTTAAAGTCTGGCTGTCTCCACAGTTACTGGCTTCATCTTCAGTCTTCCTCTTGAAACATTCTCTCCAATGAGTTAACTGTCCATATTCAGATGCTCTGAGATGCTGTCCACATTGGATGCACTGAAGCAGGAAACATTGGGAACTTTGTTCACTTTCTGGAAAGAAACAAGCATAACCTTACCCTGATGTTACAAGAACATCAGGCCCTTTCCACTAATTAGCTTTTAGATCTTTTCATTTAACATGCACTTTAGATTGTATCTCATTTAGCCTCCACCCAGGCAAATGAAGATTTATGCCTTTGATGAGGAGAATTTCAGGACTAGGCAGTGAGAGGCAGAACTGGAGATTTATTGAAGCTATTTACCATGGGCTTAAGCATGAGAGTTAGGAGAAAGGGACACTCAAGCATGGGTACAGGTTCTTTAAGGAGGAGCCTCAGTTATCTTAGCTATCAGCTCTGTGTCCTAGTCAGGGTTACTATTGCTGTGATGAACACCACGGTCAACAGCAAGTTGTGGAGGAAAGGGTTTATTTGACTTACACTTCACAACTTAGCTCATCAATGAAGAAGTCAGGGCAGGAACTGATACAGAAGCAATGGAGGGGTGCTGCTTACTGAATTGCTCCTCATGGCTTGCTCAGTCTCTTTTCTTATCACCAGTCCAGAGTGACCCCATCCACAATGGGCTGGACCTCCCCCATCAGTCACTAATTAAGAAAATGCCCTTGAGGCTTGCCTACAACTCAATCTAATGGAGGCATTTTCTCAATGGAGGCTCCTTCTCCAGTGACTCTAGCTTGTGTCAAGGTGACATAAAACTAGCCAGTACACTTTTTGGGATCCTAGTCTGTTTGGATACACACCTTCCTAGGCCTGGAGGGAGGGAGGAGGGCCTTAGACTTCCCACAGGGCAGGGTACCCTGCCCTCTCTTAGGACTGGAGGGGGAGGGGAGAGCGGGAGGGAAATGGGAGGAGGCAAGGAGTTGGAAATTTTGAATGGTATTATTTACAAAGCAATAAAAAGAAAAAAACTAAAAAATGCTTTTAAGCAGCAGAAAACAATTAAAGATAGCATAGCAAAATGTAGAATAGTATGTAGGGATTTAGGTGAGTGTATGTAACCTCTTTTTATATTTAAAATCTGTCATTTAAATATTTGATGTTGTCATTCCACAGTAGCTTGATCCTGTGGATTGTAACAGTTTTCAGTAACATAATTAATATCTTACAAGCTATAAAATACTTTAAAGCATTTGTTAGTACAAACAGGACCATTGTCAATATGTAGTTGTAATGGGAGTACAAATATGTTTAAAATTTGACGAAGTCAAGTTTTACATGTGACACTATGGTATTTTCCTAGAGCTGCCAGGGCCCTATGCCATGTCTGGGGCCGTGTTCTGCAGCAGACTAACTGGGAAGTGGCACTGTGCATGCCTGTAGTGCACTCCAAGCATGGGTCTTTACACACATTAAAAGTAGAGAAGTCACAAGACACAGACAAACCTAGGTACAGATACTATGTTGATGTGAGAAGCACCCACTAATTATGCACTAGAAGCTTGGAATACTGTGTAAAATAAGCCTTCAATACAGCAAAGTGCTCATGAATCTCCTCTAACTTCTTTTTCTCTTGGCAGAGTCTGATTGTTCATGTCAGAGCAAAAAAAAAAAAAAAAAAAAAAAAAAAAGAACAAAACTAGAACAACAAATAAAACCTACTTAATTAACAATGGTCATTAATTTCTAAAGGTTTAAGTTTAAGGCTTTTATAAAATACTTAGGATTTTTTAAATTTTAGGGAAATTTTAATTTTGAGTTCAAGAAGACTCTCCTACTAGGTAAAAGGATATTCAGAAGTACCTGAGAAATAATGACAATTTTTTCCCTACTTATGAATTACAAAAATAGGGAGAATTTCAAGGACTGACTGAAGGTTCTGTATGTCCTAGTTACAATTGTTCCTTAGTAGATGTTGGGACTGTTTTAACTTTTCTCCATGAAGGGGCTGTTGATCATTCTAGACAGTGTTATTCCTGCTGTGTGGGAAAACAAAAAGCTAAGCATTGAGACAGCTGAGCCTTGGAGCACAGGTGGGGCTAATGGAGCCTCACCTGCCCCTCCACGGGACTCAGATGTCTTAACAGATCTGTCTGAACCTGAGCAACGGAAAGAATGACCAGCCAAGACTTGCTGAGGTATGTCCTGCAGAGAATTCTCTCTCTCAAAATGATCTTCCTGGGAGGGTCCGAGCATAAATTACTGTGCTTCATCTTGCAAATTAATTGACAGGAATTTTATGTCACCTTTCATGGGCTCTCTTCCCATTAGCTCCTATGTGCTTCAATTAAGATCTATGGCTGCTTATTTAGCAAACCAACGACTGAATTTTACAAAATTGGAGAACTATTGTTTTGATTATATTGTTCTTATGGATTTTAACAAACACTTCAATAATTGTTTAAAATGCTTTTTCTCAAGGGTCTGAGAAGAAACCATTTTACTCTCTCATTTGTGATTGCAAACCCTTGGGTGAGAGAACCAAACTCCCACTCCCTACTTCTATTTAAGAAAAAAATTCTTAACTCGTCTGAGGGTCGAATTCCTCACTTTGCACATCAGTTTTTGGGGAGAGATCTCTAACATTATGGCAAGCAGAGTAATGATTTGTATGAGAAAAAAGGGTAGTTTGACTCAACAAGACTCAGTAGTGGGTATCGTTTCAAACTTCAAGAGTCTAACACAATAGTTTATTTCAGGCGTGTGTAAGGAAGCACAATTTGCAAAAAAAAAAAAGTTTCCCAGTGATAATTAACTCAGTTCTATGTGCACAATTGAGCTAAAGCTAAAGACACAATTGCATCAAAATTCTTGTAAAGTACAAATGGCATCATCTCTAAAGATAGTTTCTAAATATTAATTAATGAAGTAAGTTCAAGATAAACAAAGCTCATGATAAGGGTCTAGGGAAGACAGCACTATAGATTGACTGAGACAAATAGATTAAAGATAAGGACCTTGAGGCAGCTGCTGTAGCCTGGCTACACAGCACAGAGGTCACCAGGCTAACTGAGTTAATCACCTCAGCTCCCAACCTTTTAGGCAGAAAACAGTAATACTTTTGAAGAGACAGGACTGTGTGTTTAACATTCCTGGTTTTCCTAGTACTCTTGACTGCTAATTCACCTCTCCAGCCCCATGTGCATACATTTCTACTGAAACATTTTAGGACTGTATGTTATTGACAAGTCAAAAGAATCGATTATGAAAGCTTTTCTTCTTGGGTAGTCAGTTCTAAATTCTCGTCAATGTTCATATGGAAAATATGTTTTTATAATAAAGACATGGCTTTTAGCTTTAGACATGAGCTAGATGCTACAAATATTTAACTTTCATGAGCACAGTTTATAAATGTTGCTGGTCTGGTACTTAGTGGTATTTACACGGTTTTAAAAGAAAAAAAACTATTAAAATTTAAATGAATGTTTAATTTACCCATTATATTTTCAGTTCAAAATGTCAGCGATCAAAGTTTAAAAACTCATACATCTCTTGAAAAGACTTCACTAAACAGAGGCTTTCCAAAATGTGTGAATGAAATGGCTACCTTCCCAACAGTATCTGGAAGGTTTATTATAATTGTTCAGTAAGAGCTGGGACAGACATTAATGTATGAGGCACCAACACTCAGAAAAGGAAAAGGACAGTAGTTCCAAGAAGGAGGCTATAATATATCAGCCTTTCCTTTAGATTTTCTTATAATTACTAAGACAGAAGGATCAGAAAGGTCATCTTCTAGACATCTGAGCATAAGCCACATGAACTAGATCTTCGGAGTCGCCACCATTCCCAGGATATTTACCTTCCAGTCTGAAGTAAATAAATGAAACAAGTTTGATGATGAACACTATCAGCACACACAGGACAACACTAATATCTTCTAACCACAAAGTGTCCAATTCAAAATGTGGATCTGAAACTTGGACTGGGAAAAGAGAAAAGAATCAGGAGAGTTACAACCAAGAGGAAGGCTAGATCACACATTAAGGGTAGCTTTGCTTCTCAGGTTCCTGTTGCTCCATTCTTCATGTATGTACAAGAGCAATACAGGAGAATTTTGGCATACTTGAGTTTGGAGATGAGCATGTTTTGCTAATCCTGGGAGAGGTTATGAGGAGACAGGAACCCATTTTCCTCAAGCAACATGGCTTTTGCTCTTCCTAGTCTGTCTGAAGAGCATATGAATCGACTATGTTTTTATCTGTTTTATTTAAGGCTGAAGATCCTCAAGAGTTCTGGCCCATATAGAGGATAATGAAACAGAAAATCCTTAGATGATCAAGATCTGTGAAATGAAAGAGATCTTACAGTTCTCAAGTATCACCTTCCCTAGGAAACATTCTCTCTCCATCCTCATCTCTCGCTCTGTCTTCACATTTCAACTGCTATATATCTTCCCTGTTACCCATCTGTACCACTTTCTGTGCCACCAGGGTATCACCTTAAGACCCACTCATCGACAGTCTAGATCTGTGGGAAGAGGGAAGTTTGCTTTCTCCCCATCCACCCACAGATACACCCTCCAATATAGGGCATAGAGATCCATCTATTGCATCCTTCTGAAATACTTCAAGTGAGGAATAATGTCCTTGGCCCTCCTCAGGTTTGTGGCTCATTCAGAAAGGAAACTGAAAGAGACAGATTTGTAGGAGAAAAGAATACCAGATAGATTTCCTCAAAGTTCTATATGGTAGAGCATCCTTTAGAAAGAAGACTCATGACGCAGGATGAACATCCACTTTTGCACGTCTGTTTGATAAAGATGGACAGCTATGCAGAGATGTGATTGGACAGAAGGACAGACCCAACAGGGTATGCCAGTTTGGCTTGTTTAGGACTTCTCCTTTTCCTCTCTGGTGTAGTATGGATGTTTTCCCAGATGAAGTCCTTACGGCCTACTGCCAAAAGTAGGCAAGAGAATCTCTGCCTGTCCAGCTATGAAAAACAAAGGTGTGGAAGGTAGAGCAGGGTTTCCATGTTTGGGAAGGAAGAAACTAGGATCCTGAACCAACTTGGAAAAGAGAAATTCTAGTTTTGGGGCTGCGTTGGAAAGAAGTGGGAGAAGGAGGAAGGAGGGCAGAGGGAGGTTGGAAAATACTGCCATTAATGTTATTTGAAGTCTTCACATTTACCAAATTCCACATCATATTTAACTCTCTGGCTTTAGGAAGGTTCATATTTGATACAATGTTACAAAATCTTGTAATCACATCCACCACACTCACTCTCTCTCCACTATCCACTCTGACCTTTCTAACACATCTCCCTCCCAACTTCATGTCTTCCTTTTATTTCTAACAAGCCAATGAGGTTAATGTGTATTTCAATGTGCAGGGTGTGGGGTCATTCAATGGGCATAGGCAACCTACCAATGGCCATACTTCACCACAGAAATGGATTCTTTCTGCCCCTGCATCCGTTAGCTGCTAATAGCTTCTCAGCTAGAAACAGAGCCTCAGAACTTACGGTTACTTCAATGCTGGAATTTTTAACACGTTTGATCTTGACTCGACAAGTTTAAGACGCTGGAGCTAGTAAGATGGCTCAGCAGTTAAGAGCATTGTAAGCTAGTTCAGAGGACCTAGTTCAATTTCCAGCAGCCACATGGTGGCTACTAACCATTTAGTGAATCTAATACCATCTTCTGGCTACCATGAGCACTAGGCATGAAGGCAAAACATCCATATACATAAATAAAATTTAAAAAGGCAAAAAGTTTAAGATGCTGAATTATTACCTCCTTCCTGCTAAAAGTATAATGCAATCAAAACAATTTATGAGACAATGTTGACTGCTGAGTTTTTTCAGGAAGAAAAATACACTGTGAATTATAAAGAAATTCTCTTTCTTGGAGCTGAATAATCAACTGCATCTACTATTAAGTCTATGAAATTCAGAGCTCTGGAATCTATATATTGTGGCATGTGTTCTCATGGCCCATTTATTAACCCTATAATTTCAGCAACAATTGCTCTTCATTTGTTAACTATTCTAGTAGGCAGTTGGAAGAAGACTCTTACAGGATGGCACCAACCTCTTGCTTACCTACCTCTTTGTTTTAGATGCAAAATGAGCATTACTCCTATAATTGCAAACATGGAAATGATGAACACCACTGAGCCCTTTAGCCAATGGGAAAATCTCCCAGAGAAGTTACCTAAAGAAAAAAAAAACATAATGTTATTATCACTTGACATTTGATAGAGGAACACTACATTGGAAAAAATGCATCAAGAAAGCAAGAGCTATTGTGTCTATGTGTATGTATGTATTGTTTTAAAGTATCATTTTAAATTCTTTTAATTTTTTGAGATTATAATATAATTACATCATTTTCCCATTCCTTTCTTAGGGACCATTTCCAGGGAAATGTGGAAATCAGTAGAAAATACAATGTCAGGGTACAAGCGTAAGGATGATTTTTTAATGCGTTCTCGTTGTATTCGTAGAAGAGTAGAAGATTTAGGATTAGAATGTAAGCAGACAGGAGGAAGAGGGACAGCTGTTTTTAAGGAGGGAGCAGATTTGGGATTGAGACAAGGCAGGCCCTGCCTGAGTAAACGAGCTCCCCTTTACTCCATCTCACTTCTTATCAGCTGGCATCATTAAGAGAACAAAAGATAGAGTTATGATTTTCTCATTGTCATTTTTTATGGTTTGAAAGAGGCTGAAAAGAGGAAGGGTCTGAAGACTGCCTAAGAGACCCCAATTTCCATAATGTGAGAACTCACTACCATAGGTAGATTCCATTCTTCTACTAGAGAGGTATAGTCTCTGTGGTTTGAAAGAGAATGACCCCCATACAGGCTCACATGCATTGGTCCTCAATTGTCGAAATTTCAGGAAGAATTAAGAGGTGTGTTCTTGTTGAGAAGGTGTGTCACTGGGGTAAGACTTTGAGGTTTTAAAAGATTTCTTCCATTCTGATTTCCATTCTCTCTCTCCCCCTCTTTCTCTCTCTATCACTTATTAGCAAAGAAAGATGTAAAAATCTTTGATGCTGTCACTAAGAAAACTGATGAGAAAACTGATCTCTACAGGGTGCTATCTAGCATAGAGAGAACTGTGAATTTGTAGAGTGTGCCTTCCCTGTGTGCAACCAGACAGAGGCTGGAAGTGGAAACTGTTTCAGCCCGATTGAGGTTCAGAAGGTCAGCAAGAAGTCTAAAAGAGGAAACTAAGAAACTTCAGAGAAATGTATAAACATTCACTCCCAAATCCTTAGGTGATGGACACATTGCATCCCTTGGAGGAGATTTAGAGGACCTGAATGTGCTCTTGAGAGAAAAAATTTATGCCAAAAATAAACACGAGTTTGATAATTTCAATTTTATGGACACATGTTCATCACATTTAGTGATGAATTTCTTTGAGATAATTTCATTATGATATTATAACCATTGGACATAATGTTCCTCATACAAATCTTTTGTCTTCCCCTCAATTTAGGATTCCTTCCCCAGACAATCTTGTTTTTACATTCAACTCACACACATTTAAAATGTTTCTGGTACTATGTAAACACTACAGCCCACAAATGGGGAAAATGGTGATATTTGTGTTTATGAATTATAACAGTTAAAATTCACTTTATGCCCTACTAATCATATTTCTGTACTTTATAGCAGAATGAAACCCCAACATACATGGATACCACATCCTTACATCCTTCCCAGTATGAATGATGAGTCATGAAAATTGCTTCCCTGGAATTCTTTGCTTATATCACAAGGAACTTCCACTGACAATATCTTCTCCCTCGAATTTGTTTATTGATTTTGTAAGCAATAATGAGTATGAGAGTCATGAGATTTGTAAGTTAAATGAGCTTCCTGATCCTTTTGAGTTTCCTTAGCTTCATAAGTGTTATGAGTCTTCATTCACTCCCTAGTAAGAAATATTTCTAGTTAAAGAAAGAGCTATACAACATTCTACATCTTCATCCATCTCTATTTTCCTTGATTCACTCTTGTGACATTTTCTGAACTTTGGAGAAAGTTGTGTAAATGTCCATTATTTTTTCATTATGGCTGAAATTTGAATATATTATAGGTAAAATCACTGATTCTTAGGAACTTGGCCAGTTATGAGTCTCTACGGAGACTGCAGAAGAGAAATTTCCCTCTACATTCTAATAGCTGAAGTACTTTATGGGTAGAAACCCTCGTGTTTAGAATACAATTTGGTGCACACTTCACAACTCTTTATCAAAACAATGTTATTCTACATAGCATCATCTGGTGCTATGAAAGCTGTCAGTCAAGGAGGGCATTTCTATCTCTGTCCTAGCCTGATTTTTATATTAAGTAGCCATAGGGTGCAATGTCTTTAGTAATCGGCACTATCATATAGTTTGGGCACCATAAACAACAGTAAGAAAAAAGCCTTTTGTGGTTTTCAGGGCATTAGTACTTCATTGATCTCAGTGACTTTTTAAAGAGTTAGTTTTCCTATAGCAATGAGAATTTCATTTAACATCATTTTGACTCCCAGCAGTATCTTTTTTGTTGGGGTTTGGAAAAAACAAAGAAACAAACAACAACAAAAGCCTCCCTAACTGTTGTTTTCATAGATGCTTTTCCAAATCATTAGGATTCTTGTGAGTTAGCCTTTCACAACGAAATCTCTGTTACATAGGGAAGACAATGTCTTTCAAAGCTCATTACTGCCAATTTCAAACAAGAGTCAACTGCTTTTGGAGAGCTAAAGAACACTAGTAGAGAACATGAGTTGGGATGAAATACTGCATGAAAAGATCCCATCATTTATATTGATTATTTCATTACAAAGAGCACTGTTGGTGCAAGTGTGTATACAGGAGGGACTACCCATCTAGCCCTCTATAGTCCAGTCATATTCCATCAGCCATCTCTCCCCACATCCTGGTGTGCTGTTTTTGCAGGAATCCTGTGGATCTTTCTACCCTTGATGGTTCACAGTCTGTACTGTTTTATGATGCTCATCATGGTTCAGATTTAAGGAGGAAAGGAGTGGTATGTAACCTGCTGTGCTTACTGCTGGAGCTTGCTCACTGGCTCTGACTAGTACTTAACTGACACCATCGTCCTGTTTTGTCATCAGTCATATTTGTTATTGAAAGATCATAGATGAAAATATTCACTTGTGGTCTACTTATTCGCATGAGAGAAGCATACACCATGTATTCTGGTGGACGATAATTACCCATCTCTATGACAAGTTCAATAATTTTCCTATGCTCTTTTATGATCTACATCTTCAATGAAATGTTTCCCAGGCTTTAAATCCTTCTAGGAGCTCAGTGGTATATAGAATATAATATTTTTTGAAAATCTCCTCTACCATTCCAGTTGTCACATTTGTCTGTGAGTGAATATAGCAGATCTTTTAGTCTATAATATCCCCTGTTCATCATATCTTCATTTCATTAGCCATTTAACAACCCAATTTAAATATTCAAATCTATCAAAGCCACTTTTACTGCACAACAATCATATCCCACTATGGGTATCAGCAAAGCTACTGAAGATACCAGGAGATGAGTTAACTTTTTGATTGTGTTTTCTACAAGCAAATTCTACCCCACCTGGTATCCTGGGCACTGACATGTGTATGTCCTGTATATTAAATTGCTTTAGTGATGTTTATTTTTCCTCAATTGTCTTCCTTGCTAATTATGGGAATCTTGGTTTGATGCCATGTTTAAGCCCTGATTTCATATAGAGAGAGATGTCCACACCAAGAACAGCCTTCCCAAAGGATGCTCTACTCTCAGAAATTTCATTCCCTGTGTCATGATTGATAATTCACCACAGCGAACATGCAACTATCACTACTGAAATGAAGTTTATCATCTCATAGCATATGGGAAAAGGTATTGATATTGAGATTTGCCTGAACAAGGTGACTTACCCTCAGGTTGATCACCCTAGGTTGATCAGCCTTAAATTCCACACTTAACATGCAAGACTATTCCCCAACTTCTCTTGTGTAGACAAAAATCAAAAGTGTATCAACAGAGCTCTCATGACAGAATTATGATTCCACATAAGGGATTATGGAAACAATTAGTTTGCTTGGGATTACTTGCAGGATCATGGATAAGCGGTTATTTACTTGAGTAAGGATAACTCAAAGATTGATAACTTTAGCATTATGTTTTTTTTCCAGCAGAGTTGATAACATACACCATTTACATTTTTAGAGCTCCATAGTCAACTGGGGTGTCAATCAATGTAAGTAAATGGTTTTCATCTTACCTTAAAGGCAGCACCAACTTTTGTAAACAGTATTTTGAGAAATTCCACTAGCAAAAGTCAATATTGTTGGACCAAAACGTGGAAAAAGTTCTATATACCCTGTGACCAAAAGTTTTAGAACTACCTGGGCAAACAGGCTTTGGCGGCAATGAATAAATAGCTTTAGCTCCTTCTTCTACTTCCACTTTTGTTCAATGCCACTCAATCCTACTTACCATGTATGAAATGTTGCTGAACACAGGAAGTCACAAGGGAGACTATCATCACAAATGCTATTATACACAGAATTCCCCTCCAAACACATTTCCATGAAAACAGTTCACCTGAAACATGATTTCAAGAGAAAACTTAGCAATGGTGATTTATCTGAAGTTTGTTACAATTTAAGATTCTACTACCCTGGAATATTATGGAAGTTTGGAGATGCAGTTATGATGGTTTTGGTAAAGAGCAGATCATGAGTAAAAATAAGCCACGTGTGAGTAAATTTGAGGAAAAAGTATGTGGAGGGCAGTTCTCTCATTTCTTCCCATCAATCCTGCCCCATAAGCTTCCTGGGTAAAAAGAAAAAAAGGAGAGGTAAATCAACCCCAGTGTTCAGATATTGGCTTCCAAGGAGACTTATCATGTTGGTAGAAATCAATGCTGAAATTCTCATGTCTTGTTTACCTTGATATGTGCCATTGTATTTGGGACTATTTTTTCTGAATATATCTTATGACCTCAGTCAGTGCAAATGGACCTTTTCTTATTCATATGACATATTGCATCTTTCTTCCCAGATAAAATTTTACACCATCTAAAACATGTCATTATGTCTAGCATGAAGGTATTTAGAGACCATCAAGCATTCTCAAGCATTTTGAGTGTTTTATTTGTGGAATATTGTGGGATAATTCTCTTGTACACTGTAAATATTTTTCACTTGTATTGGCTTACTAAAATTCTGATTGGCCAGTAGCCAGACAGGGAGTATAGGTGGGATGACCAGACTAGGAGAAATTTCCAAAAAGATAAGGTAGAGATGTAGTCACAAGTCAGATATAGAGGAAACAAGGTGAGAATGCCTTTCTGAGAAAAGATGCCAAGCCATATGTTCAAAATAGGTAAGAATTATGGGTTAATTTAAGTTGTAAGAGCTAGTTAATAATAAACCTGAGCTTATTATATGCCAAACAGTTTATAATTAATATAAGCCTTTGTGTGTTTATTTGGGACTGAAAGGCTATGGAACTAGGTGGGACAGAAAGTTCCATTTACAGTGGAATAAATGTGTATTGAGTTGTTACTTTTGTGAATGTAATTCCCAGGATTAGTTCCTATCCAAGATAAACTATCATGCCTTTTACCCCAATAAGGTCCACATTGAACTTAGCCAGCTTGCCAGTCAGTCAGTAACAAATTCCTGCATGATTAAATTTGATTATGATCTTTCCTTTATCATCAAACTTGTTTTTTTTTAATAATTTGTAAATGGAACAATGGTTAAACATTTTCCACTTCCTAATAGTATAACACAGAGTCTAAAGTTTATGTTTATTCCAATTACTTTAAGATATACTGCTTAGAGTTAATAAATACTTAAAGAACATATAATATCATAAAATATACATTTTGTTACTCAATGAAGGTGTAATACATGAACAAATATTTCAATTTACCTTACATCATTTATATACACATCTATGTTTGCTATATATTATATATATGCTATAGGAAATCCTACAGTCAGTAGTCTTTAAGATACCTGCCCACATGTACGTGACCTCTTATACTATTTATGCCAATGTAAAGCACACATTTTGGCCTCTTCCAGCTGCAGGATTTAGCTGCAATTCTCAATTCCAGCAGAGGATATTGATTTGTGAGTCTACCGCTAAATAAATAACCCTCTATTATTCTCAATTCTGAGGTAGTGTGGGATTTCTTTTAAGTATCCATCTTCATATATACATATACATAAACATATATATGTGAATACACATATGATCTATGAAATTGGTGGCTTTAGTTCATTTAAAGACATCTTCTACAAAGAATGTTCAATTTCTTGGATAGATACCAATACTGATGCGTGCTTACAATACATCCTTTTGATTTTATTTAATTCCTTTAAAATATCACATTTTATTTGTTTAATTGAAAGATGAAATCCAATATCTGAAGTAGTTGGGTGGCTTAGTGTATAAAATCACCCAGAAATTTTTCTGGAAAGGAACAGATATAGAGAAATAACATAATAATACAGCTGTACAATTCACAAAATGGGACTAATAAGAAAAGAAGCAAAGTCAAATTTGTGAGGAAACATGACCACCAGGTGCATAGAGGCAGGCAGATCCTATGCTTCAGGTTGGCCATCAAGGTAGTACTTATGAGGAAGTGAGATTTGAATATGAACTTGAAGGAGATAATGAAAGTTATTTGAGTTTGCATTATGATGGAATAAGAATCAACTAGAGGAAATACCTAAAGTCTGAGCTCATCAACATACATGTGAATAGATGAGGTGGAGAAGAACATTAGGAAGTGATGTCATGAAGATAACAGGGCATTGATAACTGAAAAAAATGGGGGAGCATTTAACTATAACTAAAAAGGAAGCAGTTTTAGGGTACTTAACACTGGCAATATTTTAAGTGTTTCATTCTATCCCTAAAGTCAGGAAATACCATCATAAACTAGATAAGAATCAGAAAAGTTTCAGGGTACTATTTCTACATTGTAATCCATAAATCAGGTTTAGATGGCAGTGAAAAGGTGGTGCAAAATGAAGAAGAAGGAGGATCCCCTTATTAACCTGATAATTTTGTCTCTGACTCATTCTTTTCTGACTTGCTGATTACTCAGTTCATCTTAAGACCCAGGGTTTCACACAACAATGAGGACCCTAAGAGTAACATAACATGGATTTGATCTACATGGGAAGTAGGAAAAGAAAGATCTCCTGAGTAAATTGGGAGCATGGGGATCATGGGAGAGGGTTGAAGAAGAGTGGAGGGTGGTATGGGAGAATGGTCTGTATTCTGTCAATTATATTTTAAATAAATGCTGATTGGCCAGTAGCCAGGCAGGAAGTATAGCAGGAGAACCAGACAGGATGTAGAGACGGGTCAATGAGAAGAGGAGAATTCTGGGAAGAAGGAAGCCCATTCCTCTGCAGTTCTGACCAGCCACGAAGAAGCAAGATGTGACTGCCCCACTGAAAAAGGTATCGAGTCATGTGGCTAACATATAAAAGAATAATGGGCTAATATTAGTTATAAGTGTTAATAAGAAGCCTGAGCTTATGGGCCAATCAGTTTACAACTATTGTAGACTTCTGTGTGATTTCTATGGGACTGAATGACTGTGGGAACCAGGCAGGACAGAAACCCTGACAACAGGAGGAGAATGGAGGGAAGCAGAAAAAATGTATAGCTCAATAAAATGAATAAAAAACAGACTTAGGATTGCAGTTCAACAAGAATGGACAGTGGCCCCTTCAACTTTCAAGATATGAATATTCTTGGTATGAAGAATATTCAAGGGGGTGTTCAAAACCTCTCAACTTTAGCTTTTCCCATTCCTATTTGTATAATCTCAGGCTTCTGTTGTCACAGAGAGAACATCCTTAGACATGTGTGTGACCGGAGTGAAATTAAATTGTCCTGTCTTCTTTCATCATCAGGTTTTATACCTTTTTAAAAAAATATATGTGACAAAATTCATAATATTGGGATCTCATCAGTCTTGGACCCTGAGTCAAACGTCTCTCTTGGGACTCTATTAACAATGGGACTCTGGTATATTTTAAAAGGTGACCTATCATTATTTTCCTGTATATATGTATGTGATAGAAAATGGAAGTCACATGTGACTTTAATGATTTGTTTCTGAGAAACTGAAAATGTGGAATGTTACTGAAAATCAGTAAATTAAGCAAGTGTGGGTGTGGGCATGAGTTTAGTTCTTAATATACCGTTTTATGGTATATTAAACTTTTGGGTTGGCTTATGAATTTTCAAATGAGAGCAGAAGAGAGGGGAGTTATAATGTGGGAAGAGTGAGAGTTCTGATGGTACTTAAAGTCATGAGATAAAAGGAAGTCAGAAGAGAGTAAGGGCTCAGAACCAAGCCTAGCAATCTTCAATGTCAATATGGCAGTTAGTATTGTGGACTTGATACAAATTAAAGTCGTCTGAGTAAAAGAAACCCCAACTGAGGATCTGCCCTATCTGATCAGTCTATGACCATGAGTGTGGGGCAATTTCTTGACTGATGACTGAATTGATAGGACCCAGGCCCCTGGGGGTGGATAGTGCTATCTGTGGTGTTGTATAAGAAAGAAAACTGAGAATGCCATGGAGAACAAGTCCATGAACAATGAGTGTCCTTTGTGGTCTGTACTTTAGTTCCTGCCTCCAAGTTCCTACTTTGGGCTCCTGCTCTTGTTTCCCTTGATGCAGCACTGATATGTAGAAATGGAATTCAAATAGACACTTCCCCCACCGCAACTAGTTCATGATCATGAGGTTTTATCACAGTGTCTGAAAAGCAAAACTGCAATCATCTAGAATATAAATTGAGAAAATAAGCACATCAAGAGAGTAAGAGATATAATAAATTAGATGACAAGTAAGGCAAAGAGAATGCAAGGCATTGAGAGCCAAGTCAAGAAAGCAGCGATACATTAGTATATGCAACAATGTCTTTTACTGAAGAACAAATACAGATTTTACCTGATAGGACAATATTTATGCTTTCTTCCTGTTGAGTTAGATGATTTTGAAGGTAGCAAGTGACATTCCAGTGGGAGCTGGTGTTAATAAGAAGGGCCATTGTCATGTTGAACAATTTGTTTCCATCCCGTGAATGGGATTTTGATGTCTCTGGAATGACTTCTCCTTTGCTGTCTCTCCATTCCATAAGTGGTAGTGGGTACCAACCTCCTGAATGACACTCCAACATCATTCCTTTGATATTTGGGGGATGCAGAAGAATCTGTATGTTTGAGTTTATGGCTGGTTGAACAGCAAGAGAGGAAAACAATATTGTTAGGTATAAATGGTAGAGGAAAGGACAGAAAAATAAAAGTGCTTTTTGGTTTTGATTTCAGTTTCAAAAGATTTATTTATATTCATACTCTACAGGATGCTGGTTTCCATAAAATCTCATGAAAATGGCAAGAGTCAGACAGAAATGCTATAATATGCAGTCAGCAACCTACCCAAACTAAGTCAGCTCAGGAAAGGCCTGTTTCATTTGTTTATTAATTTATTTAAAACATATTTTAGCTTATTTACTGAGTCAAAGAAATAACCTATATCTTTCAATTATGATGAACAAAAATCAAGATTTTGACCCTTATAGAATTTATAGTTTAATTTTTTCATTTATAATAGTCACTAGTTAATTTGAGTCACCATAATATATGATAAAAATGAATTTCAGTATAAATACAATTTTGGAATCCTAGCTGATTCTCTCTGTATTTCCATAGTAGATAATTTTGTTAAAGCTGTTTGGAAAATACTGCACGACACAATGCAGCTCCCATTGCCACTAAAACAAATTGAGAGGCGATGGAGAGGTGGGAAAGATGGAGGAGCAATATATTTGTTTGTTTATTTGTTTTTTCCTGTTTAGCTTTTCTTTTTGTCTTTTGTTTTTAATTAATATTTTAATTCTTTATTTATTATTATTTTTAAAATTTTCCTTTGTGGGGGATGCTATAAGGGTCAAGGGCCATAATAGAGGGACTGGGAGGTGAATCAGTTTGGGGTAGATATGTTAAATTCCCCCAAATCAATAAAAATTATATTTAAAATGTGTTTAATATAAAATAGATAATATATTAATAGTGTGAAAAGTACATATTAATTCAGAGAAAATAAACATACCTGAAAATTTCAGCATATTTTCTGAGACATAAACCTTATGTAATGTTTAGGCCAAAAGAGAATGACTGGAGATTTAAAGCCAAAATTGCCCTCTCTAGTAAAATGTCCCTGGAATAACAAGAACATTACAGATCTGTGCTAACATACTTGTTGTATATCCCATAAAGCTACTAAAAATGGCAACCAGTAACTTTTTGTCCCAGTAGACCACAAAATACGGAAATGAGCTACATTTTGTGACTCTGCTCTAGACAACTGAGGTGTCTCATGACATTCAATGAAGACTGATCATCTGGGTCTAGAGTCCTACATGTTTGAGCATACACTTATGGATTTGTTCAGTTTATATTACACCCTTGACCTTTCCTTTCTTTTACTTTTCATCCAGAATAATTCAAAGTAGCATAAATGCTGTATAGTTACACACACACACACACACACACACACACACACACACACAAATCACATATAGTATTGCATCTGAGGATATGGATTATTGTAGTTAAAATATTTTGAAAGAGATTTAGAAAAATTAATCAGTACTAAGTAGTTAGTGAATTCATTTGGAGAGAAATGGAAATAGTAAAAAAGGACATTTTTCTCTTTCATTAAACATTTTCATACAGTATTTTTGATCATGTTTTTCCCTGCAACTCCTACCATACTCACCAAACTTTATAGTGAGAAGCATGTTTTAAAAATTCAATTCATTTGGAAAATTACTAAAGTGTTGTTAGAGATATTTGAAAGGATAATAAAACAACCTAAAAAGAATCTGATTTTATGTTAGAAATCCAACAATGTATGTGGGCATAAGAAAGTAGTTACTGATATAATAAATCCCTAGTAATTCATTTTTTTATCTTCCATGTCATCCAGTTAAAAAACTAATTGCACAGAAACCATCTTGCCAATCAAATTATGCAATAAGAGTTAAGCACTGATCATTTTCCAACCACTCAACCACAGGTAGGCATTGAATCATATGTTCAGAGCAGTCTGAGAGAAATTCATGCCTACCTGTAACCTTGACCTCTGTGATGTGCTCTTCATAGAATTCACCATTTTTGAAGACACAGCGGTATGGTCCATCATCATCAACAGTCACCCTAAAGATCCTGAGTGTCACTTTCCCTTCTCCAATGTCATCTTTCAGCAGTTCAGTCCGCTCCACATACTTGGGGATAGTTTCTCCATGCAGTTCTTTCCCATTCCTGTACAGGTGCACGGGCTGTGTATAGTGGTTCCTGAACCAGCGAATCTCCATGTGCTGTGCATCTTGTGGTGGGGACAACTGACAACTGAGTTCAAGGTTTCCACCCAATGGAGCCAAGACTGGCCTAGTCAACCCAGTCACTGTGAACCTCTCTGTGAAGGAGAGTAGTCAAAAGATAAGCGCATGAATCAGTAAACATATTTTGTTGAAATCATTGTCTCTGTTTATCCCTCTTCTGTCTTCTCTTTCTCAAACATCCATACATACTTCAAAGAAGGTCACTTTGTTTATCCTGAAGGCATTTTAATTACTATTTACTTAATTGATACTGAAACAGAAAGTATTACTATAAATTGTTAGAGAAGATTTTAAGGAACTATTAGAGATGCTGAACCACTCCAAGACAGGCTGGATTCAAGATAAATCAAGACAAAGTGGAAGACTGGGTCAGAGAAAATGACAATATGAATAGGCCATATCATGTAGTGGGGATTTTGCTGAACTGAAGCTCCAAGGACAGTAGGCAATCCACGGCTGGTGTGCCTTATGGTACATGCATAAGGTTTCTAGATGAGAATGTGGCTGATACTGTTTGTGTCAAACCTACCTGCAATATTATACAGATGAGGGAGCTACCATCTCCCTTAGTCTGCTGTGTTCAATAACAGGATTGCATTTTATTATATAGTCTTGATATGACCATGTGCCCTGATCCTGTTCCAGATCCAACCTGATAACTTAATATGTGTTATTTTCTTTACTTGTATGATTAAACTATTTTAAATTTTGTTCCTAATGATTCTTTCTGGGTAAGTAATGAGGTAATGATTGTTTACTTGCATAAATTTGTACAGTAATTTTGACTCATAATGTGAACTCAAAATGTAACAAACTGCTACACTGTAAAATGGAGTCACTCAGGGCAATACTCAGCTTGAAAGCTACTATTCCACATGGTGCATAGTAAAATAGAGCAAACATAGATAGCCTTTACAGCAAATAAAAATGAAAATTATCTCAACATTGTGCAGTTAGAATATTGTAAATCAAAATAACAAAGGCCATCAAGAATTATTAAAATAGTTGAAATCTGAAACTTTGACAATATAAAATGATCACAATAGATGAAGACAATATGACTTTTACTTTTGTTGATAGCAATGTAGAATGATATAGATACCCTGGAAGACAGTTTGACATCTCTAACAGTGCTTGTAGGCTTACCTAATACTTTCTTGCCATAGTCATGATTCTGCATATAGTTCAACAATATGTTAATAACTTTTTTATTCCAGTTGCTAAAAATGGCAGCAATCAAAATGCCTTTCTATAAGTAAGTGAATAAACCAACTATGTAAATTCATAAAATAAAATATTATGAATTAATGAAAGAACTGATACAATAATGACAGATATGTTAGGGAAGTAACCAACCAATTTTGATGGGATTTAAGGCCTCCTTCATAATATAGAACCATACTTGACACTCCTAATTTGGCCAAGAACTTGAGATCAGATAAAAAATCTTCCCTTAGTCAAAAACCTAGTACAAGTATTCTGCAAAAGAAATATTGAAGATGGGACAGAGAGAGGAATATAAGGGAAAGAAAAACAGGAGCTCAGGGCATTTAGTCTGAGGACTTGTAGAAATATAATATCCCATTTGATCTGAGGATTTTATAGAAGTAAGAACTAGTGGCTGACTGCTTCACTTCTGTGATCTTTCAGCTTTCACCCCTTTAGTACCTGACTTTGGGTTTTTAATATTAAGACTAATTAAGATTGTGCTACGTATGGCATTTCAATGTAAGAGATTTATAACTGGCCAGAGTGCTGAGAATATGTGACTCTTTAGAGATCAACTCCAAATAAAGCATTTATATCAATTCTCTTGAAAGCTAAGGAACATAGTTGAATGGTAGAAAAAGAAAGAATGATTGTAGGAGCTGAAGGATGAGGAAGAATCCTGTAAAATGCTGTATTCTGGGCACAACATTTTATTGCACTCATGAATTATAGTAGCTATTATTGCCAGCAGCAGAACTACAAAAGGTTAAGCCAGTCAGTATTCCAGCCAGTGAGGCCCCATCACTACCTGAGAAACTTATTTGGAAATGATGGCTGCTGGGGGGGAGGAGGAACCATTTTCTTTAGGGTTTAGCTACCAGCAGGTTGTCCATTCTACCGTGGGTGGATGGACTCAAACTCATGTGCATGTAGATAGCATTAATTGAACTCAGAAAAAGAAGACACAATGAAGGAGGGAAAAGCATTGAAGTGATCTGAAGGGAGTGCTCTGAGACAGCAACTCCAGTTGTATTCAAGTCCTGCTCTGTATGAGGTATTTCAAGTCTGATACTGTAAATTTAACCAAACATTTATGGTTGGGGAGGTCAGATGTCCTAGGGGTAACTTGTTTCTGTTGTTTAGCTAAATTCATGATGTAGTCTCAAATTGATTCCTAAACAGCTGAGTTTATACCTCATAGAAATGTACTTATCAATGTATATAAACTCCCTCCCTAAATCCAGGCAATGTTTTAGAAGACAGAAAAAAATGTACTATCTAGAAGACAAAGAGAAGAGTGGTGAAATGTTATTGTCTGGATTCAATTTAGTCATTGCAATTATGGGCACATAGCAGGTGTGTTTGCCTATGCTGGGTCTGTACAAGACAGGACCTGTCAACTGCTGGTCAGGGGTACAGGATGGGCTCATGTAGCCCTTTCCCCACCCACTGCTGAACTTTTGGCTATTGAAAGATTTGGGGTGGAAAGGTTATTATCTTCAGATATGTACCTATTCATGAGCTCACCCTGATTACATTAAGGAGGTCACAAGACAAAACAAAACAAACAAACAAAACCTTCCAGAAAACATAAAACACAAACATGGGTAAGCGACCTGTAGGAAAGAAGGGTATTTGACAAAGAAGGGAGGATGACAAGAAAAGGTGGGGTTGGGAAGCCAGAATGCATTATAGACAGGTATAAAATTGTGAGAGAACAAATTCAATGAATTAAAAATCAAGAAACAAATAGATAGTAATGAAAAGAAAATAAGGGTTTAGATCATCATCAACACTTCAAATTAAAAGAAACATTTTTGAAAGATATTCATTCAACCTTATCTATTAACGTGAACATAATATACTAAATATTAGACTTATTTTTCCAGTTGAAACCTAAGTGAAAATAAAAATCCCTTTGTCTCAGCCACCAACTCCTTTAGTAAATCCCTGGAAACCACTTCAAGGGACTCAGCTAGGAGATTTCACTCCACCTTTTTTCTTCCAATTCCAATCCCCCACGCTCCCTCCCAGCTTTGTAGCAGACCAACTGCTGTGGCCTCTGAGAAGGTTTTTTGTAATCCGCTGCACTGGGCTTCTCTGCCAATACAATAAGTCAGACCAAGCTGAATTAAAAGTCCAGATTTAATGACCATGCAACTCCCTGGATGATTCTTGGGCGAAGCTGGAGAGAAATCACGTGGCAGCTCTAGGGACTCAGTAGGCAGTGTTGAGTAGTTATGGGGGAGGAGCAGTCTTATACTCAGCTCTGTAGCAGACCACCTGTTACAGAAGGGGAGGTTAGTCTATGCAGATTCTGGTAACACATCAATCATTCTTCCTTATGTAAGACATTAGCACCTTCCAGGCCTAAAGGAGCCAACCTAGAGTCTGCCTGGAGCTGTCCAAAGGTCCTGTCTGTGCATAGCCAATAAGGAGTGACCAAGCAGTGTTTTCTGAGGATCTAGCAAGAGTCGCTGTCAGAGGTCCTGATCGTGCCTAGCCAATGAGAGACTAGCATGAAATGTCAACTGTCAATGGATCAGAATGCCTGGGTGCTGGGCAGGCATATAAGCTTTTTCTCGCTGTTAAATAAATGAGTCTGCTGTGAACATACCTGACTTCTGGCATCTGTGGTCGTTGACATCGCATCTTTTCACCCCCTCCCCCAAGGAAGACATTAGGACCCAGCAATACTCCTTCCACTGACTCCTTCAGTCTCCCCTGCTAGTCCATTTCATTCCTTAGTGTAAGCTCCCAGTACCTAGAAACACTTTCTACCTTGGACCCCTATTTTCCACACTTGGAGGGATTTCAGAAGCATTCCCAATACCCAAGTCACAGTCATCACTCTCTCCAAAGAACCACAGCGGGCAACAGAAACCAAGGAATGGAACATCCACTCAACTAAAAGAAAACAAGATATCAGCCTCTAGATTTACAATCATCCCAAACCCAGATGCCTAGACACAGACTAAAAATGCAGTAAATAATAGCAAAAACAATGTTTCAAGTAGAATCCACTGACCCTACTACACAGGCCCTGAGAAATTAAATATGGCTGAAACACAAGACAAGGACTTCAAAATAGCTATTATGAATATGTTCAAGCTCGTCAAAGGGGAAATGAGGAAATCTATTAAAGAAATCTATGAAAACACAAACAATTGAATGAACTGATGCAAACAGTTCAAGACATGAAAGTGAAAATAGAATAAATAAACTCCTAAAGTCAGGAAAAACTGGAAGTGAAAAACCTAGGCACATGATCAATAATCTCAGTGGCAAAACTCACCAGCAGAACACAAGAGATAGAAGAGATAATCTCAGGCATTGAAGACAAGACAGAAGAAATAGATACCTAGGTCAAGAAGATGTTGAATTTAATAAATATCAGGCACAAAGCATCCATAAAATTTGGAACATTATGAAAAAAAATCCAATCTAAGAATAATAGCAAGAAAGAAAAGGAAACCCAGAACAAAGGCACAAAAACCATTTTCAACAAAAGCATAGAAGAAAATTTTCTTAGCCTGAAGAAACAGAGAATTATCAAGGTATGAAGGCATGTCGAACAGAAAATAGACTGAATCAGAAAAGAAATTTCCTACAGCTCATAATAATAAAAGCACAAAATGTACAGTTAAAGATACAAATATGAAGGGATGTAGTTAAAATACATATTATTTAACAAATAATATGATGGTACACATAAGTAAACTTAAAAATACAACCAGGAAACCCATAGAGTCGATAAACACTTTGAGTAAAGTAACAAATGGACTGAGAAGGAAATCTTTGAAACAACACCTTTCACAGTGGCCTCAAATTATATAAACTATCTTGTGGTTACTCTAACCAAGCAAATGAAAGACTTGAGTGATAAAAATGTTAAGACATTGAAGAAAGACACAAAGGAAGGTATCGGAAGATGGGAAAGTCTACCATGTACATGGATTGGTAGAAGTAACATAGCAAAAATGGCTATTCTAACAAAAGCAACTCCTATATTCAATTAAATACCCAACAGAATTCTAAAACCTCTTGGCATCTATCTTGATGGGCAATTTTCAGGTACATATGGAAACATAAAATCCAGAATATCTAAAACTCTACTGAACAAGAATAAATTGCTGGAAATGCCACCACTCTCTCTCAATTTTACTACAGAGATATAGTAACAAAAACAACATTATATTGAATGGAAACCAATAATTTATCACTAGAATTAAACTGGAGATCAAGACATAAGTACTTCACACACCTGTAGACACCTGTTTTGTGAAAAATTACATGAATACACACTGGAAAAATGATAGCATCTTTAACAAATGGTACTGGTCAAACAATATAGCTGCATATAAAAAATGAAAATAGATCCATACTTATCACTCAGCACAAAACTTAACTCTGAATGTATCAAGTATATTAACATAAGTCCACCAGATACACTGAATCTGATAGAAGAGAAAGTGAGAAATATCTTGAACTCATTAGAACAAGGAGAAAACTTTCTGTACAGAAGACCATTAGCACAGAAACCTAGAACAACATATAAGAAATGGGACCTCATGAAACTGAAAAGCCATGCACAGAAAAGGGCAGTATCACATGGACAAAGATTTCTTACCAACTACACATTTGATATAGGGTTAATATCTAAAATACATAAAGAATTTTAAAAAAAATCTGGGCATCAAAAAACCAAATAACCCAACTAAAAATGGGGATAAGATTTAGACAGAAAATTCTCAAAGAGAACACCCAAAATGACTGTGAAACACTTAACGAATTGTTCACCATCTATAGCCACCAGGGAAATGCAAACCAAAAATACATTGAGATTTCATCTCATACCCTTTATTTACGATTGTCAATAAAAGAAATGATGACTTGTACTGGAGATGATATGAAGTAAGAGGCTCAAACATTTAAAGTGAGAGTTTAAAATTGTACAGTCACAAAAGAAATCCACATGGTCTTTTCTCAGGAAGCTGAGATCTAACTTTTTTACTCTTGAACATATACCCAAAGGATGATTTATCCTAATATAGAGACACTTGCTCAATGATATTAATTGTACTTCTATTCCTATTCAAAAATTGGAAACAGCCTAGATATTTTTTCAGTGCATTAATGGATAAAAAAATTACATCTACTCAGTGAAATTATTATTCATCCATTTAAAATGTGAAATGAAGTTCACAGGTAAATGGATGAAGCTATGAAAAATTTATTTTGTGTGAGGTAATACAGTTCAAGAAAGGCTAATATAATAATGTATTGACTTACATGTGGATCTTATATTTAAGTCTTCAATAAGAAAGCTACAATTAACCATACAGAGAGATTAAGTACAAAGTAAGGAAGGAGTTAGGTGGGATGGGCATCCTTCAGAAGAGAAAATAAAATATGTATCTTGGGATGGACAGACATGCAATAGGAGGATCAAATTGGACAGGGAGTGAAGAGGAACAAAAAGGGTGTGCTACAGAGAGGAACAGCCAAAACAGGCCCTTTTCAGGGGCCATATGGAAACCCAGTATAGTAGGAGATTACTAAAGTTGCTTCATACATATAGGAAGGTAATCTTAATGAAATCACCCAATAATGGAGAAGACAAAGCGATAATTGGATATCTCTTGTCATCAAACAATGCTTCTGGTACCAAAAATGAGTCTAATATAGGTCTAACCCAAATAAATGTGCATCAGTGAAAATTTATTATTTGACAATCAGCTTTTTCTATAATATTTTACATCTTTTATATCACTCGTTGTCTAAGTCTTTTTAAAATATCTTCAAATAATGTATATAGTTGTGCTTTGCACAGATGTCCCTACAAAGTCAAATTCTCATTTCCATAGCTTGCTTCATCTTCCCTCATCTTTTCCCTCTACCCTATTCTTAGCTTGGATGGATTTTAATATGTATCTGCTGTTATCAATTCCTCAATGTAAAAGTGATATGTAAGTGCTGTGCATTCAGTATGAATATTGAATCCTCAAGACAAGTATTCAATTGCTATCATTGTACTTTCTACTTGGAAGCTGAAACAAACCCAAGTTGATATGGGAGTCCCCTCTGTGTGTTGCTTGTATTAGTTAATGATAAAGAAAATGCCTTGGCCTGATAGGGCAGAACTTAGGTAGTTAGAGAAGTTGGAGGAAGAAAGGAGAGTCAGGGGGTTACCGTGGATCCGCAGCCAGAGGTAGACATCCTGAAATGTTTCTGGTAGACCACGACCTCATGGTGATATACAGATTGATAGAAATGGGTTAAATAAAGATGTAGGAGTTAGTGAATAGGAAGCAAGAGCTAATGGGCCAAGCAGTGATTAATTAATACAGTTTCTGTGTGGCTATTTCAGGGCTATGCTAGCCTGGTGGCCGAACAAACAATGCCTCCTTGCAACACCAAGTAAAGAATATGTGCTGATTGGACATAATTACTTGTTCCTCTAAGCTGGATACTCTTGCAACTTTCTTCACTTCATTGCTACATTCCATCTTTAGGGATAATGATTTAAATGCCTTGTTCTTTGTACCATGCCTTGATTATTTTGCCATGCTTGACATTGCTGATGCTCATAAGGGCAAGTGAGAGGGTCATACCTGAACTCAGCGCCACCGTCTGTAGGAGGTACAAGGCAACACAGTGCACAACAGCAAGCACTCCTGTAGCTCCCATTACACCTGTGACGAAGCATAAGAGATGAAAGGATAACTTTGCATTCAATTTCCAATTTCTCTATAATCCTATTATCTTGCTTGATGTGTGTATTATAGACATAAAAATATATCATATTTGGCTGCTAGATCAAGGCCAAAATACTAAGTATCTTATTTTAAGAAAAATCAAAATGTTTATGATATATCCTTCTTGGGTTTTGAATGAACAAAAGAACAAAATGTTTATTTGTTTATACATATACATATATATACACACATATACACAAAGGATGCTTTATCCTAATACAGAAACACTTGCTCAATGATGTATATGTGTATATATATATATATATATATATATATATATATATATATATATATGCAATGTGTTTCACAATCTTTTTTAAAATTTATTTTGTGTGTGTGTGTGTGTGTGTGTGTGTTCTACCTGCAAATATGTATGATCCACTTGCAATCCGGGGGCCCACAGAGGTCAGAAGAGGTTATTTGATCTCCAGAATCTGTTTGTGAACAACCATGTTGAAGTCAGAACTAAACCTGGATTCTCTGCAAGAGCAAAACATACTCATAGTTCCTGATCCAGCTCTCCATCTCTGTTTTTTAATATTTTATTAGTACACTTGCATGCATGTATATACTTTGTATTCACTGCCATTTCCCTCTCCTGGGCCCTCCCAGTCCCACTAATCTTTCTCTTTCCAATGACTTTCCCTTATAATTTCACATCTTTTAAATTTCTTTTATTATAATTTGAGTTGAATTCTGATATGTTACAGGACCATGGTAAAGGTTTGTTTACAGGAATATGGCTCACCAGTGGCTACACCACTGAAAAAGTGTACCGTCCCCTCCCCAGCAATTATTAACTTCCTATGAAGCCTCAGAGTGTGATGAAGTCTTGTGAGTTTCTCCCTGTTTCTCCCTTTCCACAGTGTCAATTGGTGGCCCTAGTCCTGTGCAGATAATCACAGTTGCCCCACTAGAAATATTTCCCCTAGCTAATCGTATTTTCATGAATTTTTAAAAGAGCATGTGTCTCTCACTTCCCCATCCCCTTTCCAGAGTTTAATGACAATGATTCTACTCTCTGCTATGAGATCAACTTTTGAAAAATATTTTATATTTGAAATAGAATCATAGTACTATCACTTGCCCCTCCCTCCAGCTTCTCTCATATCATCACTCTCTAGCCAAAAGCCTCTCTTTCTACTCTTACATATGCATACATACACATACGTATATACAAATATACATATATATACACATATATATGTATGAGTATGAATATATGTATGTGATCTGTATGTATACACACACAAACAAGGCATACTGAGTCATTTTTTTAAGGTTTGAGTGTGTGTGATTTCAAGACTGACTGTCACTCTACATTGGAAAACCAGTAACAGGTCTCATTCCTGGGGAAGCCTAATTCTCCATCTCCTAAGAGTCATTAGTTGTCTGTAGTTCCTTATATAGATGTGGAACCTTTAGAAATGTCCCCCCTTTATGTTAACATGTCCATTAATCCCACTGCTTCAGTCTTATTTATGTAGCAATTTCTAGGAAATTAACTTTTAAAATTTCCATGTATGACTGAGAATATTAATTTTTTGTGCTAGTCTATTTTAGAAATTGAGTTTTTAAACACTCAATGTAAAAATTTAACAGGGACATCTCACATATTCTATGCATTTCTGACTTTGTTTATTATAAATCAAATAGTTATTATGTTTTGAGGGAAACATGGGATAGGCACAAGTCTCACTTTATGTGGCTGAGAAATCATATAGTCATAGGAATATATTTTCTTAGCCCTGATCAAATGACATTTCAGAACCTGATCTCAGGATCCACTCAGATTGAATGTTACAGAATTATATTCAACTGATCCATAAAGAAAACTTGGAAGTCTTCTTCCTTAGAAGGTACTAACTCCTCATGCTTTTTTTCCAGTAGAATATTTTATTTATTTTTTATTGATTTTTTTAATGAGCTCTACATTTTTCTCTGCTTCCCTCCACACCACTCCCCTCCCCTACAACCCTTTCCTAAAGTCCCCATGTTCCCAATTTACTCAGGAGATCTTGTCTTTTTCTACTTCCCGTGCAGATTAGATCTATGTATGTTTCTCTTAGGGTTCTCATTGTTGTCATCCTTCTTAACACCAAGATTTACTAATCCTTAAACATACTTCTTACTAAGTCTTTGGAACTTGTTTATAGGGGGAGAATATTCCTCCCAGGAGGCACAAGGAAGAAGAAAAGGTAGAAAAATGATCTGTGAAGATAGAACCAAAGCCTAAAATATTATTAAATCACCTTACTTACCTGAGCCTGACGATCCCAACTCAGTTTTCTGTTGTCCCTATGAATGCATGAGTTGAGTCACCTGAGATTTTGGTAATGCTCCAGCCATTTTACTGAAGTCACCGAGCATGCCAGAGTTAGACGGAGATCAGGTAAACTAACATCCAACTTTTCCTCTCCTACCCTGAAAGTCTGGCCCCATGATTCTTCAAGCCTGATAAATAGGTCTCTTTCCCAGGGAAATTCCTAAGTGGCTGGTATATCAACCCACGAATGTAACCTTTGTTTAGCACAGTGACTGTGACTGGTGTTACTCAAGTCCTAGCAAGACTCGCCTCGCCTAGGGAAGAAACAAAACAAAAACTGATCCGCACCTGTCATATACTGAATGCCGAATGAAAAACTATGATGAATGTATTTTAAATGCTGGGTCTATACAGAGCATAGTAAGGAGAGTGAATTGCAGAAGCACAAGTAAATGACTTTAATTCCAGATGAAGCATTCCATGAATAATGGGAACTTTCCATAGCTTCAAGGAATAACCTTGAAGCAAAATGATCAGTTGGTCCAGTTAAGCAAAGGAGCACAGTAGTTTTCCAGGCTGACAGAGCATCTCTATCTTGGAGACACGAAAGAGAGAAGTCAACTCAAAGCACTCCCAGTAATTGGCAGTAGCTACTAGGAGAAATGATTGAGGAATGATGAGAGGTGAGCTTCAAGGAGAAATAAAGGAAGTTATGAAACTTTAGGAAACATATATTATATATATTTAAGTGAATATGAATCTATGTGCAGTCAATTGTTTTAATAAACAGATGTATATATTAATGTTTAATACAGATGCCATACATATATAAGTATAGAACAGCTATAAATATGAATGAACTCAGAAACTTACATACATAATATATTTATGAAATATTTCAGACCTTTATACATGTATGCGCACATGAAATAAAAGTATATTTCATCAAATATGTAATTATCTTTACAAATAAGTCATATAGCGCTCAATAAATTTATCATGCATATATAAGGGATTATAAAAGTACATTTGTAAATGATTTAAAATATATTTTATTAGTTCTTTGAGATTTTGTATAAAGTAGTTTGATCACATTCATCCCCAATTCTTCACTGATCCATTGCCCTTCCCTACTCAATCAACTTGGTGTCCTTTATCTAATAAACAAACATTTTTTTGCCATTAAAAAAAAGCAATATGGTGGTAAAGAGTTTTATTTCAGTTACAGTTCAGGTCACATTCTATCAATGATAGAAACAAAACCAGGAACTTACTTAGTGTGGGAACCTAGAGTCAGGAACTAAAGCAGAAGACTTGGAGGGAAAACTGCTTCCTGGCATGCTCCTTATGACCTGTTGGGCATGATTTCTTATTACATGCCCAGGGTTAGCACAACACAGACTGTTCTGGATTTTCTCACATCAATAAATAATCAAGTCAGTGTCATAAGTCTTATCTACTCACCAGTATTACGGAATGCATTTTTTTTCCAATTAGGATTCCTTCTTCACTGATATGTCTTGATTTGTGACAAGTTTGTAAAATCTAACCAATACACCAGTTAGGATCAATCTGTACTACTCAAATATTTTTGAATGTCCTGTCTTCCAAACTAGTACACTGGCTTATCAGAAACTACACTATTAAAGAAACTTCCTCTCCTTCTTTCATCAGTTATCAGTTGTCAATGACTCCTCAACTAGAAGGGGGAATTTCACACCAAACATCTTCCATGCTGGACTTTTGTCTGGCTTGAGTTTGAATATATATGCACATGTTTTTGTGACCACTGAGAGTTTATATATGCAAATATCCTGCCATGTCCAGCAAACAGTTTCCTTGTGTTAATGTAATGTCTCTGGCAGCTGTCCTTCTCCATTTCTTCAACAATGATCTGTAATACTTGAGAGGAATGGGAGTGATATAGATGTCTCATTTAAGGGTGAACATTACTCAGTCTCTTATTCTCTACACCTTGGCCATTTGAGGGTTTATGTGTTAATCACCATGTACTGCAAGTAGAAGCTTCTCTCCCGAGAGTTTATATAAACATTAATTTATGGCTATAGACATAAGGCATCATGAGTTAGTTTAGCACTGTGACATTTATCAGGATAATAGCAGTAGCCTCCCTTCTAGGGAATGTGGTCTAAATATATTACCAAAAAGAATTAAAGAGAGATAGAATAAATACCCCAAATATATCTATAACATCCAATGAGATAGAAGCAGTAATTAAATATTTAAAAAAGTTAACAAAGAAATCCCACGGTCAGAAAGATTTAGCACAGAATCCTAGTAGGCCTCCAAAAAAGAGCTAACATACTTATGACTATCTCTCAAAACATTTAAAAAACTAGGAAAGGAAGAAGCATTTTTAAATTCCCTTTTTGAAGATAGTGTTATTCTAGTAACCTTACCAGACAGATACACAACAAGAAAAATATTATGAGCCAATAGTTTTGATGAACAGATGGGAAATCTTGTAACACTTGCAAACTGAAATTAATAGCATATTACACAGATTATTCACCATAATTGAATACCTAATAATAATTTATTTCCAGCTTCACATATTCTCTCTCTCTCTCCTCTTTCTTTTGTTCTCACTGCATCAGTTTAGTGGTGACTGTATGTATAGGGATTTGGGAGTATCTACTGAAGCATGGACTCACTCTTTGAAAAATCACATTAATAAATTGCCTGTCACCAACCACTCCACAGACAGTGGCCATCAGCTGCCAATAACTATTTAATTAGAGACTGGACTTCAGGAGCCCCCAACTTCCATGCTGGAATTTTGGCTGGCTTGATCTTTTACAGTCTTGTGTATATAGTTCCAAATGATGTAAGTTTGTGTGTGAGATGTGCTATGTGTATATAAAGTAGTGTTTTCCTTTAATAATCTACTCTGAATCTTATGGTCTTCTTGCCTCCTACTGCATCTTGATCACTGGGGAAAGGAAGTGTGGTATAAATGTCCCATTTAGATCTGAGTATTATACCAGTTTTTATTAACTTTACATTGCATAATTTGTGGTATCTATATTTATCATCATTTATTGCAAAAAAGAGCTTTTCTAATAAGTATTGAAAGATACATGGATTTTTGTTTCCCTAAAAGAAAAACCATAAAAGATATACTTGATTTTCTAAATGTAATAATGTACAAAACATGAATAAAGATGATGTGAATAATTTAAACAGATACATAAAAACTATGAGGCAGATGTGCTGACTTAAAAATCTCTCTCTTGGAAAAACAGAAAAGAAATGATTATTTTCTAGATACATGTGATCTTGCAATGTTAAATCAAAGAGAAGTAAACAATTTAAAAAGATTCATAACTACCAACAAGATAGAAACAGTAATTAAAGATCAGGGCCAGAAGGACTTAGCCTAGAATTCTATCAGACCTTCATTGAACTAACACCAATACTTCTACAAATTTTATGTAAAATATAAAAAAGAAAATCAAAATTATTTATATAAAATAAGTTTCATTTTAAAGCCTAAATGAGAAAAGCATACCACCAAAAATGAGATTATAGATCAATCTTCCTCAGAACTTAAATGAAAAATTCTCAATGAAATATCTGTAATATGAAATATATTCTTCCCTGATCCCATATTCATCCTTCCTCCCTTCCCCCCATCCCGGTCAACCGAGCTTTCTCCATTCTTCCCCTACTCCCTTCTCTCCAACCCTCTCCCCTTCCAACAACCCTCCCACCCGCCCCCCCCCCCCATGCACCCAAGGTTACCTGGGACTCTTGACTATTTCCTATCTCCTGGCAGATAGCTAAATAATCTTCATCAGGTTCGTCTTCTTATTTAGCTTCTCTAGGATCACGAATAATAGGCTCAAAGACCTTTAATTATGGTTAGAATCCACTTATGAGTGAATACATACCGTGTTCCTCTTTTTGGGTCTGGCTTACCTCACTCAGTAAAGCGTTTTCTATGTCCATCCATTTGCATGCAAAATTCAAGATGTCATTATTTTTTACCGCTGAGTAAAACTCTAATGTGTATATGTTCCACACCTTTTTTAACCATTCTTCTATTGAGGGGCACCTAGGCTGTTTCCAGGTTCTGGCTATTACAAATAGTGCTGCTATGAACATAGTTGAACAAATGCTTTTGTAGTATGCTAGGGAATCTCTAGGGTATATTCCCAAGAGTGGAATTGCTGGGTCCTGAGGGAGGTTGACTCCCAGTTTCCTGAGAAACCGCCACACTGATTTCCACAGTGGCTGCCCAAGTTTGCATTCCCACCAACAATGGATGAGTGTTCCCCTCACCCCACGTCCTCTCCAGCCTAGGCTATCATTGGTGTTTTTGACTTTAGCTATTCTGACAGGTGTGGGGTTTATAGGAAACTTGGTTATATATGGGATCCCAGGTCCAAGGAGAGATCCCCAGATTGTTCTCTGGACAGAGGAGAGGGTGCCTGAACCGGCCTTGGCCCATAACCATACTGATGAATATTTTGCATATCACCAAAGATCCTTCATCTGGCGATGGATGGCGATACAGACGGAGACCCACATTGGAGCACCGGACTGAGTCCCCAAAGGTCCAAATGAGGAGCAGAAGGACGGAGAAAATGACGAAGGACTGCGAGGGATGCTATCACCCACTGATACAAGGGGTCGGATGTAATGAGAGTTTACCAAGGGCAGTTGGACTGCGACTGAACGAGCACGTGATCCAACCAGATTCTCT